CAAACTCAATACTGAATGCCTCTACGCATTTCTTCTCAGGAAGAGTCGATCAACTGCTATTTCTCACTGCGTGGTCAAATTTTTTCAAGAAGAGGAGGTGAAAGGGATCTTTTTGGGGCATAAAAGGAGACATGTGGGTTTTTTTCTTTCTCTCATCGTTCCAGTTTCTCATTCTCTTTTTCAGAGCTTTGCATTTATTTGTTAGGGGTTTTGGTGGGGGGTTTTTTCTCTTCTATTTCTCTCTGGCACACAATGTTTTCGTCTCTCTGGAAATGTTCAGGGGTTTGCCAGTATGTTTGGGGATATTTCTTTCACTTTATTTGTTTCCCTTCGTATAAGAAAATATACTATTTGTAAAAAGCCTACGGTCTCTCTCACACGGGGAAGCCAGAGGGGAGGGGGAAGTTTGGCCGGATCGATCTGGCGATGCTTATGGCAGCTGAAACGAGCACCAAATTCTCCGAGAAACGTATTAAAACAGAGCAGAGCGGGTCTGCATGATAAACCGGTCAGAAAGAGATGAGCAGAGGAAGGGAATAAGCCCTTTGGGCACAGCTAAAGGTCTTAATACCATCCTCTCCCCCCCTCCCTCCCAGCCCCGAATGCAAATTTGGGGATTTGGGAGGAGGTTGGTTTGGGATGCAAACAGCTTCTCACAGAGAATTTCTATTAGGTGGGACAAGACACGACCCGAATTTAAAAAAAAAATCATCGGGTTGTAAAAGGATTCCCATAAAATTGGCTTCTTGTTTCCTTCACACCTTGTGTGAATAACAGCCAGGAAGAAAAAAAAAAAAAAAAAAAAAAAGTCAGGGTACATATAAAATCAAAGTGTTTCTAATGGAAAATAGAAAATTGTTGGGGTTTTTTCCTTAAAAAAAAAAAAAAAAAAAACTCTAAGAATGAAATTAGATTTACAGCAACCCACCTGTTTGCTTTAAAAACAAACTTTTCATGGTCTCTCCTTCAACTTTTCCCTTGAGTTCAAAAGCCAAGCTGCCATGTTAATCCTCCTGTTTATTGATTTATGATTCTGAGGAAACCGAATCTTTTAATAACTCAATTATCAGATAAACATCTGAAGTGTCCCGCCAACGTAAGAAGTTAGGCTGGGAAAGTGTAGGGGAGCAGCAAAATGCCTTCCAATGGGAGACTGAGTTTAGTTTGGGAGGGCACCTCAGTCCTCAGCAATGATAAGAGCCACCAAGCAATGGATATTTCTCAAGCACCAGCAGCACTGGGCTGGTGTTTTCCCCATAGCACTGGGAAGAAACAAGGTGGCTGCACTTGCATCCTATGCTTTCTCCCTGGTGCATTTAAATCAGAAACCTCGTTGATTTTGTCTCTGTACCTTGGGGACTAAATGAGGGGCAGCCCACTGAGATCAATGGGACTTTGACATTTGGCTTGATTTCGCCTGAGCGAAGCACAGCCTGGCATTTGCAGTCTGTCTCTTCCAGGTAGAAGGCACGAGGGGCAGATCCAAAGTTGCCAGGAGTCAATTGAAACTCTTCCCCCAACCTTCTCAAGGTTTAGGTCCTGGTCCAGGTGACCAAACCTGTGCCTAGGGGAGATTTCAGCAGCAGGATCAGGCCCTCACACATGGGTGTGTATGTGTGTGAAGGTCTTTCCCCAAGAAGTTACAAGCGGTTCCCTCACCTCATTAACTCACAGTTGTGGTGGAATTCTGTCTTCTGCAGTTAAAGGGAGCATTCCCAACATCCCCCCACAGACAAGGAAGGACCATCCCCAACATCCTCCCAAAGTCTTCAACTGGAAGCCCTGGGGTGGCAGGGAGCAAGTCCCCGTGTCCCTGTGTGTGAAGCTGAGGAGGTAGAAGACTGAGCTCTAACTTGGAGTCTCTCCAACACACAGGATCCCCACCAGCCTGGGTGATGCTGGAGGGCTGTACCCATGGGCTCCTCACAAAGACTTTTGAGGAGGGCAGGCAAAACAATGTTCAAAGCATTGTGCTCAACTTCAATAAACAGAGTAGTCTCACCAGGAGATGTGCTTTCAGGTGGTGTCATTCATTCCTCCTCATATGCACACACACCACTTCCCTTTCCTGTGCATCACTGCTGGGGCCTGCCCTGCACTGGAGTTTGAATTGTTCTTCCCCAGAACCTTTCAGAATTGGAGGTGGTTGACAAGGGGTGGGTTGTGGAGGACCAGGGGCTGCTATTCAGTCCAGGGGTCCCCAGCCTAATGGTGGGAGATCCATCAGATCTACATCAGCCAGGGATCCACACCTCCCCTGGCAACATCCACAGGGGCATGTGACCTACCAAACCCACTGCCAGGGACCTGCCAGGGTTGAAGGCTACCTCCAACTCATCTCAGTGCCTCATGAAGAAAGCTTCTTGCTTTAGTTTCCCCCTTTTCTCATGTGAGAAAAACACTCTGCCCCAGCAGAGCCAAAGCTACACGAATGAGGAGCAGCTCCAAAGGGGTCAGTGCTCTATAGGGCTGGACAATTCCTGGGTTTCTACTGCCACACACATATCCAGTTCACAGGTAGGGGGCAAGAGCCAAGACCTTTGCTTGCTAATCAAAGATTTGAAGAGCAGAGCAGGCCTTTGGCTGTATCTGTTTCTCAAGTGCCTAAGGACACTAGGAGTGAAAATCAAGGGGCTCATTTGCTAGTTTTGTTTCAAGAAAATTTTGTTGGGAATATCGCTGAATTATTTCTCCCCCACCATCCACTTGGGATGGTATCTATAAACTGAAGCAAGGCTAAGGCTTCTCTTTTGTCTCTCTCTCTACTTGTTATGAGTTCAGGTGTGCCTGCTAAGGCTGGTGGAATGGAGTGCTGCAGCTTTAACAGGGATCCCAGGAGGGACCTGACCCAAAGGAGGTTTGCCAGCAACTCCAGGACATTTACCCACACCCAGTAACTGTTCTGACATAAACAAAAAGATGTGTTAGTGCACAAACCCTAGGCCACTGAGAAACACATGCAAATAACCAACAGGGCAGAATCCAAATAGAAATTAATATCCTTACACTTCAGCATAATTTTTATCACAGAAGACAAAGAAATGTATGTTAAAAAAAGGAAAGGAAAGAAATCAGACTCTCCCTCCACCCCCCCAAATCATATGCATGAGACATCCTGTCACACACCAAACCACTGAGAAAAACATGGGAGTTAAGACATTTTTTCCCCCCTACCACACCGACTTGTTCTAAAGCAAGAGTCACAAGACATTTTTTTTAAAAAGCTTCCTAAGAGAAACAGATTTCCTCAGACTTAGCTCAGAAATCAGGATATTCCCTGGCAAGCCCTCCCCACTCCCATCACGAGGAACCAGCTCACATGGCAACCCTTTCCTCCCTAGGTACAAAACCTTAGTGCCAAGCAAGTGTGGTAACATTCAACACAGCTCTTATTTTCTTTGTAATGTTACGCCTCAGTTTCAACTTATATTTTTTATCTCATTCAAATTATTCCCTTTGAGCTTCTTTAAAGAAGTGCACCTACAGAATTTGGAAACAACTGGCTTTGATTTGAAAAAGCAAAAAGCAAAAAAGCAAAAAAAAAAAAAAGAGAAAAGTATCAGAATATCAGAATTGTGGATTTTTTTTTCTCTGTACCTGATATATTGTGTAGGGATCTCTAGTCCTCTTTGAAGAAGCTCATAAGCCAAGCGGGCAAAGCTTTAGGAAACAGAAGAAAATAAAATAGTGCATACACCTGAGAAAGAATTACATACTCATATCACTCATTTTTTCTTGTTGTTAACAGTTCTTTAAAAATGGAGGGAGGTATCTCTCACACACACTACTCAAGGAAATTAAGGACTGAAACATTGGCATAGTAAGAAATATAAAACTCCCTAGAGAAAAAAGAGGAGATCTCAGAAAATTAAGAAATCAGATAACGCTGACATTTTGCCAGACCTTGCTCTCAGATTTTGCAGCCCATCATAGACAAGGCATTTTACCATCAAAGCAAGTACTAAATTACAAAGGTATGTTTACGTGCATGAATATGTGTGGCTATACACACAGATTAAATATATATATGGCTATATTATTGTATATCCATATATATATGTACACAAACATACAGAAGATAAACACACACCCCTGTCAAGTTCTGCGTGCACATACCCATATGCACACACGTAGGCACACGCGCCCATACACACCTGTAAACACTGGTAATCTAAACAGAGAGTCTGTCTAGACCAGGAAAACCAGAAGAAGTTAGTAAAAAATAGAGTTAGCTAATTCAACGAAGCTACAATGACTTGCAGCTTCCCATGTCATGGCAGCAAAATAAGATGCTGCCACCAGCACAGCTCAAACTGGCTGGTGGTGGTGAGTTCAGGAGAGATCTCTGCACTCTCCTCCCCTCCTTTCCTGGTCTAGACAGATCCAGGGTGGTGAGATGAGATAGGAAGAGTTGGGGGGAATGAGGCGATGGGGGCTGCTCAGAAGGGAAGGCTCTGGAAGATTGTTTTAGCTAGGGTGGAGACAGGACAACATTCAAAAAAAAAAACCAAAAAAAAACAAACAAACTTAAAAATAATAGCAAGACAGACCGTGCAGCTCAAGAAATCAAAGCACTGACACCAAAAATGTTTCTCCGATTTCTTCCAATAAGTTATTCATTTCTTTCTTTTATTATTATTATTAATTATTATTATATTTCCCTCCCCCCAGATCATTATTTTTAAAATGTGAAAGAACAGAAGTGGGAAAAAATCCTGGTGGTTGTCTTCACATGTTCCTGGCAAGAGACTCTGAACCACTGGTCTTGCGCCATTGTGCTCCTCTGATCTTAAATTATTGTCTTTCTTTTATTATTATTTTTATTTATTTATTATTATTATTTTGTCCTACCTAATAGAATTCTTCCAAAGCCCAATCCAATATTTTTTAAAGCTAAAATTAAGATGGTTTTGTTTTACAAGATTATCTCTCTCTCTTTTCTCCTTTTATTTATTTTACTTTTTTCATTGCCTTTCTTTTCCCTCTCTCTCTCTCTCTCTCTCTCATTTTCTGTGTTTCTCTTCCTTGTCTCCAGTTTTACTACCTGGTCCTTCGCCAGATGTGTGCCTGTTAGCAGTGTTGTTGTTCAAGAACATCTTGTCCATGCCTTTGAGAGCTTCAGTCAGGTAGTTTTGAAGGGCCGTGAGGGCAGCGCAGATAGCAGGGGCCCCAAAGCCGTGAGTGATGAGGCTGAAGTGAGTCAAGCAGCTCTGAATGCCCGGTTCCAAAATAGGGGTGGGCCGACTGTTTCCAATGGGCGTTCTGTCCTGGGCCAAGAGATCTGTAAATTCTTTACAAAGTTGCCTGCACATAAGAAAGAAAGGCAAAGAGGGGACAAGAGAGACAAAAGCGGCGGTTAGGCTCAGGTCACACATCTCTGAGACAACCAGGACTAAAGGAAGGGACAGGTTCAGGTCAATTCTGAGACCTGGAATAGGACCTTTTTGCCACCTTCCCCTCCCCCAGCAGGGTTTTGGGACTGGCCATGGTGAGCCAGAAGGTCTCTTCTCTGGTTGATGTTCTTCAGGAGAGAGATTTCTGCAGTTGCAGGGTAATACTAGGTCTGGAGATAGAAAGCTCTCCTGCAGCCACAAGAAACCTTCTGGGGAGGGTTAGGTTGAATATCAAGAAAAAAGTATTCACTTAAGAGGCTGTCAAGCATTGGAACAGGCTGCCCAGGGAAGTGGTTGAGTCACCATCCCAGGTGGCATCAAGAAAAAAGTATTCACTTAAGAGGCTGTCAAGCACTGGAACAGGCTGCCCAAGGAAGTGGTTGAGTCACCATCCCAGGAGGTATTTAAAAGACATGTAGATGGGGCACTTAGAGACATGGTTTAGTGGTGAACCTGGCAGGTTAGGTTTATTGTTTGACTCAATGGTCTTAAAGGTCATTTCCGTCACAAAAGATTCTATGAATCTAAGATTCTGAAGCACTGTAAAAACCAGCCCTCCTTGGTGGTCCTAGAAATAACCAGCATGAAAGGGCTGTGGGTTTGCCAACAACCCATGTGCCTGGAGACCTGACCCTGGCTCAAAGCAGCTCCCACTAATTCTGTTCCTGGAGGAAAGTACAACCGTGCACTGAAAGCTACTGGGTGGCACAGGGACATGGTTCAGGGAAGGGCCAGAATGAAACCTTCTTTGAGACTGCTTTGGGTGGGTGACCTTGTTCGGGAAGATCAGAAGTCTGGGACTCCATATGGTCTTATTCATTGCGTGAGGAGCAATGTTAGTGTTTCCTTTTTTTTTTTTTTTTTTTTTTTTTTTATTGGAGGGTGGGGGTGACATCCCAATTAACACACCAGAGTTGACATCTGGCACTGCTTTAGTTGTCCACACCTTTGGAAAAATAATTTTTCTAGTGAATTCCCCACACACTTTCTCTTACATTGCTGTGGTCCAAAAACCCTTCAAGCCAACAGGTTCCTGGGCAACGTATAAACCCTGGAGACTGATGAGCTTCCCAAAGGATTAGTTTATTTGAGACAAATGCCTACCCAGGGACTGGAGAAAAAAGCCCAGAATTTAATAAATAAATAAATAAATAAATAAAAAGAAAGAAAAAAAGAAACCCTTCAAAAAAAGGCATTCAGCTCTCATCCTCTGAATTTCTCTGAAATTCCCAGTGGGTTAAAGGTTTCAGAAGGTGAGGAAAGATAAAGGTCTACTTCTATGTGTATTATCCATTAAGAAAGTGCAAGAGAGGAAACTTTGAATTTGGAGAACAAACAGTAATGAGTCCAACATTTTACATCTTCAAAGAGCAAAGCATGGTCTGCAAGCAATTAAAGTTCTGGGACATTAATATCTTCTGACTCTGAGGAAAAGGGCAATCAAATTCCAATCACGTCTAAAAAACATCTGGACAAATTTGAGCAAATGATTTTTCAACCTTCCATATATTTCTGTAAATTACACTGTCATCGGAGGCAAGTCATGTCCCAGAACATGAAATAAATGAGAGCTGTTTGGGCTGGTACTTTCCTTTTTTTTTTTTTCCCTTTTTTTTTTGTTTTTAACTGGAATGCCCTTTACCAGTGTATCTCTTTTCCTGATTGGCTCTCTAATTATAAAAGTATTTTAGCTTAGTAAATATAAAAAGGGGTTTAAAACATCCCAACTATTTTTTAAAAGTTCAACTTTACAAGAATTCTTTGCAAAGTTGGCAGGTAGTTATTGATCAGCCTTTTGTGGCAGAACACATGTATTGTGCTTAAAATTGAAACACTTGGAGCTCTAGCAAGTTTCCAGATAGGTGGAGTTGTGCGGAGATTCACAGTAGCCAGTGTTGAGGACCTGAGCAATTTGTGTAACACCCCGTTAGCAGCCTGGGAGGCACAGCCAAGTTTTAATCATCCAGTACAGCCCATCCACTGAGAAAGTCCCAAGGGAGAAAGGTGAGTTGAGGGAACCAAACCGAGGGCCATGAGCAGTACATGGTGGTGGGTTTTGTAGGGTTTTATTTTTGTTGTTGGTTGGTGGTTTTTTGGTGGGTTTTTGTTTTGGTTTGGTTTTTTTGTTTTATTAAAACCTATGGAAAAGATATTGCCATTTGGTAGCAGACCGGCAGGTGTGTGTGAGCAGCAGGAGGGATAGACATGCTGTGGAAGCAAAATATGGACTCCCCTTTCCATAAAG